TAAATATTTTAAATCTATAACCAACCAAGAGCAAGCATAGAACAATTACCATATGGATTTGCCATATAATGTGTTAATAGGGCGATATTCATTGTGTCGTTTCCTATGAGAATTGCGTTAATTCTATGGGTAATCAATAATGCATTCATATTGATTGAATATTTAATTCATGTTCACTTATGTTTTAACATTAATTTTATAACAGAAAGTTTTATTATATTATGATATATCGCATAGTAGACATAAAATTCACATTAAATCGAATGTTAAAAATATTATTACCTTTATAATTTTTAATTAAAAATGAACATTTCATATTAAATAAACTAACAATCTGCAATATTAATTTATTTAATAAATAAAATACTTTATATAAATCAAACTTTGTTAACAACAGTCTCAACAATGTCATCTCGTTTCTGAATGAGCAAGCGCAGATAAAGTCCCGTTACCGTGCCGCATACTATACCCCATGCGGCGGCCCCGTACTCCCTAGTGACCAAGTTTGATATAACACCAAGGAAGGTTAACACCAACAAAACGATCACGATGCATATGTTTTCTTTAATAATGCCCACCAGACCGATGACCGTTATTACTAATCCAACCACTCCCGACGCCATAAGGTATTTCACTATATAAACAAGGTTAAAATATGTCAATGTTACTGATTTTTAACCAACCCTAAATACTACCCATCCGTTTATTTATACAATATATAAAATAAGTTTATATTGTATATATTGTAAATTTATTATATACAGTCTGTATACTGCATGCACTGTATACTAACAAGTAATACACCCTATTGTTAATCAATTCAATATATAAAATTATTCCCATCTCTCTCTTTCCCTCTCCCACAAGTTACAAGTAAACCTCTTTATATGTAACGATTAAGTAAAGCGCGTTTATATTATACGGGGAAAAGTGTACTCGTAAATTAATAAAATTACATTGCTCTTCTCTAATTTCTCTAAGGTCCTTTGGTTCGTTGACAGTGTCGGACAGCGCTATACTCGACCTCACTATTAGATAAATACAGGCAATAATGAACAACACGTACAGCACTTCCATCACGATCTTCAATACTGTCAACGCTTTTTGATTACTGGACGCCATTATTATTACTGGATATATAATTAACCACAAAGTTATCACTAATAATCAGTATTAGTGTTTATACTGGACACAGAATTGCACCGTATATTCACTGCAAAGTTGTTGCTTGATTATAATAATTATAAACTGCATAAACTTAATTATAAATTGAATTTTGCATAGAATCCTTTTAATAAACCATTGTTTATGTGAATGTCTATTATATAACAATTAAATGCATTAAACAAAATACAATCAAGAGCAAACATACACGTGTAGAAATCATTACCAAACGGATTTGCGATATTACATGTGATTCTAAGAATATTCTTTATATCATTTCCTATGGGAGTTGTTATAATTGAATTTTAAAAA